CAGCTGGAGCCAGGGAAGCTGCTCAAGGCTGGGCCTGGGGACCAGCCATCCCTGCTTCTTCATCATTTGCCATAGATGCTGTTTCCTGGTCTGGACTCTAGTACCCTCCACTGTTGTTCTTATGTCTTTGTGAAATAAACAAATAAACAAATAAATAAATAAATAAATAATGTACATACACACACACACACACACACACACATACACACACACACACACACACACATCTTTGTAGTCAGTTGGATAATGGATGGATGATTACTGTTGGCAGAAAAATTAGATATCCTTTCAGCCTCCCCAAGCCCACTTCTTCCCCAGAGGTAACCACTGTTGGCAATTTTGTGTGGCAGGCAGTAGAGCTTAGTAGGGAGAACACTGGTTCCAGAGTCAGACTGCCTGGGTTCAGATCCTCCCTCTGCCATTGACTAACTGTGACCTTGGACATGTGGCCTCAGCTTGCTGGGCCTTAGTTTCCTCGTCTGTAAAAAGAGGGAAATAATAATATCCCCTCGTGAGTTATGAAAATTCAATAAGATGACATATGCAAATTGCTTAGCACAGTTCCTGACGGAGTAACCATGCTCTAAATACCATGTCTTATCCTGCCAGGCCTTTCCTTATGATTTACCCCTCTTATTTCTTATTCTCCTTAAACTGTGCTATGCTTCTGAATCCTGAATCCTGAACCGCAGCTATTCGAATGCTAAACCTCAGCATGGCTCCCCTATGGTGATGTCATCTTTTATGAATTCTCTCTCCACCTTTCCATGACCCTGGGGCTCAGTACCAGCCCAGCTCACCCTTTAGGTTTGCCTTGTCTTTCATTCTGTTGTCCCAGAAAGGGTGCCTCCCTGCACTGAGGGAAGCAGAAATTGCTGTGTGAGCTCAGATGAATCCCTTCTCTCTTCTGGGCCTCAGCTGTCTAATTTGTGAAGTGAAGCCACTGGACTCATTTTATTCATTCTGTTATTTATTCTGTTATCTATTGAACACTTATTCTATGCCTGGTACTAAGGGTACAGTAGAAAACATGTCAGAAATGGTTCCTGCCCTCGTGTTGACCACAGTCTGGTGTATAGATACCCTCCCAGACCCCCGCTGCTCTAAAAATCTGGTTTCCAGGTATTCACTGGGTGAACATAGATGTAATGACACAAGATGACACATGCATGACCCTTAGGGGTTACCAAAAGCAGCTCTCACAGTCTCCCTATCGGAGTTTTCAGAAAACAGATTGCTCACTTGGTATAAGTAAGCACACACCACAAACACTCGAACATGTCCTCCTGGAAACAGCAGATGTGCCCAAAATACACCGCCCCAGGATAACATAAATCATAGCCTCTCATCCCCACAACAGGAAACACCCAATTCACACATTCCTCTGCAGGATACATCAGAAGCATGTCAGCCACCCACCTCTGTGGCCTAAAGAAACCCATAAACAGAAAGCACTCAGATGGGGAAGAAAGCAGAGGTTACTTAAGGTGGCGAATGGGCTGCAGCCAAGGGTTGTTTTTTTCTCGACAATCACCAAGGAGGGAAAACCTCTGCCCACGTTGGACTGCTTCAAAACTGGATTTGACAACGTTCGAGCCAAGCTCAGGGGCAAGTGATGGGGGTCATTTAGAAAGAATTCCTATACTGGATTACAAGTAGGAATGCACAGCTTCAGAGATCCTTTCACTTAATTACTGCTAATATTTAAGCCCAAGCTACATGCCAAGCAGTGTACTAAGCACTTTTATGTAATCTAAGTAATGTAATACTTCAAATGGTCTGAGTTATTCCCACTCCAGACGGGAGCAAACTGAGATGGGTGCCACACACTTAACTTGCTTAAGGTCACGTGACCAGCAAGGGACAGGAGGGGAACACAAACCCAGCGCTCCTGATGCCAGCATCCACGCCATTAACCTCGGTGCCTGTGATTTTCCCCGCTTTCAGTGCAGGCTCCCACATCTCCGTGGCCTTATCCCAGCAAACAGGACCAGTGTCACGGCCATGATCCAACTCCAAAATCAAACACAAGGTCCCTGTTGGTAACTACCACGTACTCTTACGTATAAACCCCTTCAGGCAGACAGCTTTCTACCTGTGAGGTGCCCCGATCCACACTGGGGTCTCCTCCTCCTCCGTGTTTATCGCACCCCTGTGAACACACCCAGGGTGCTTGGGCTCAATGAAGTGGTGGGGAAGCTGACGTGACAGCTGCTGCACCCGCCTGTTTTCCTGGGCCCCGGGCGGCTGCGAGCTCATTGCTGAATCGGTTCATTCTGTGCTTGATGTCTCACGGTTCAACCAGAAGCCCCACAGTTTTTATTACACTTCCAGCCAATTATTCACAGTTGTTATACTGTCTCCAAGTCAGTTTTGTCACTCTTTTAATTATATCCCAGCATAACATAGGTGCTTTTACCTTTTAGAGATGACTCTATTAGAATGTGGGAACACTTTTATCTACAAGGTCAAGTGACCCTCCGAGGAGGAAAAGTATAGTATTGTGCAGGCATCACATCAGTAAAGAGAACGTAACTTAGGTCATGTTTTTATGAGAGAGGAAGCATGCCATTATCTGCTTTTAAAAGTGACTAATAAATCTGATAACATATAACACAGTTTAAAAGTGAGACCAGTTAGTGGTAAGAAGAGTGTGTGGAGGGGGAGAAAGAAGCACAGAAAAGGACTCACAGAGCCAGAATCAATTTTTGTTTGTTTGTACATAGGTGTTTATTATTAAAAACACTAGTAAAATTCAGGTAAGATTAACAAATACCTTATGCTGACCAGGAAACACTAGGGATGTGTTGCATATGAATTTATAAATGGGTGATGTTATCTTTACTTATCTGTTTTTGTTTTTATTTTATTTTCAATATATTTTGATTATTGATAGTATTACAGATATCTCTCATTTCCTTCCCTTTCTCCTCTCCACCCAGTCCCTACCTCCTTACCCAAGTCTTCACTAGCCTATTACCCATGTCCATGGGCTATGTATATAAGTATATAAGAGGCCCGGTGCAAGAAATTCATGCAATGGTGGGGGAGGGTTGTATCTCAGCCCAGCCTGCACCCTCTCCAATCTAGGACCCCTCAGGGGACATCCTCTCACTATCAGGGACTGCTGGCTCCTAATCCCTCGCCTGCCTGGCTGCCTGATTGCCCCTAACCACTCTGCCTGCCAGCCTTATAGCCCCCTAACTGTTCCCCTTCCAGCCTGATTGACACCTAACCACTCCCATGCTAGCCCAATCACCCCCAACTGCCCTCCCCTGCAGGCCTGGTCCCCCACAATTGTCCTCCTCTGCAGGACTGGTTGCCCCCAACTTCCCTCCCTTGCCGGCCCGATCACCCCCAACTGCTCTCCCTCAGGCCTAGTCCTCCCCAACTGCCCTCCCCTTCAGACCTGGTCACCCCCAACTGCCCTGCCCTGCCAGCCATCTTGTAACAATGTGGGGCAGCCATCTTGTGATGATGTGAGAGCAGCCATCTTGTGATTACGTGAGGGTGGGCATTTTGTGGCGACATGGGATGGCCATCTTGTGACATGATGGTGTGAGGGTCAATTTGCATATTACCTCTTTATTATATAGGATAAGTTCTTTGGTTTATTTCTTCTTGTCCCCCTATTTTTAATTTTAATGTTGACATTGTAGTAGTTTCCTTTCTCTCCCTCCCCTATTTGCCCACCTCCAACCGCCCTCATCTCCCCATTCCTTGGCTTTTACCAAATTATTGTCCATGTCCATGGTTATGCATAGTATTTGTTCTTTAACTATTTCCTTTACCTTCTTTATCCAGTCACCCCCATCACCAACCCTTGGGCACTGGCCAGTCTGTTTCATATATTCATGCTTCTGGTTTCATTTTTTTAATTGGAGGGAATTTTATAAATCATGTGTCCAAGCTCCTCAGTGACTACAGAGGGAATTAGGGCCAGGAGAAGTTAGATGATTTTCCCATGATTAAAAGCTAGGTATCAGCAGATAGGGAATTAGAACCCAGGTTTTCCCCCAGCTCTGTCTACGAGAGAGAAACACAGGAGATGAAGAATAGAGTGAAGAAGGAACAGCCAGGTGAGGGAACTGGATGCTGGATTGTTCAACACACGGTTCCTTTTACCTCACCAGGAGGCCATCGCCCCTCCCCTTCAAATCTGTTGTGCTCCAACAATTTTAAATTATCTTTGTAACATTTGGTAAAAGCTTTACTCGCAAATTTAATTATGGAATTAAACTGTATTTGCTTTTAGAAAGCTAAAGACTTGGTATGTGTATAAAAGAGGACTCAGTGTTTCAGACCCTTAATTTTTAATCTCGTAGGCATTGACTAGCTAATTTTCTGTCTTAAAAAAATTATACTGACAGCCATCGCCAACTGATTTTCTTGCTTCTATGCTATGAAAGTGTTATTCAAAGGCATGTTTAAGACGAGTCCCCTTGTCAACCTCCTTCCAACTAGACTGCCTCCTTTTGTGCCTCTTTTATGGAAAGTCTGTGCCATGATTGACCACACCCATTTTCTAGATGTGAAAACCGAGGTACAAGAGGGGATGTAACAAAAAGGCCCATTGTCAGCCACCCATCTCTTTGTGACCCTTGAGACAACTGCAAGCCCTAAATTCCCTTTGAGAAGTTTGGGGCCCGGCTTTGATCCAGAGATCACCCTAAAATGGTATTTCTGGATTATTTAACTTAAAATACTCTACTTCCTCTTTTATTTTTCTTCATTTGTGAATTTGGCCTCTTTTGTTGCAAGAAAGTTTATGCTGAGTCTTTGCCTACCTAAGGAGATTTACAGACTCCCATCTTAATGCCACTCCCTTCTAATGATGCCTGAGATGGCATATTCGGCCTGATGATGTACTGAAGATACTTTGCTCAGCATTTGCACCCTTTCTGTTTTTTATTCCAGTTAACATTATAATGATGTCTTATGACAGACTTTGTAAAGAATGAGAGCCTTATAGATGGTGATCACTTTGTTTCTTCTTACAGTTCCTTATCAACAGAATCCTTACAATCCCCGAGGCAGCTCCAATGCCATCCAGTGCTACCGATGTGGAGACACCTGCAAAGGGGAAGTGGTTCGAGTCCACAATAACCACTTCCACATCAGATGCTTCACCTGTCAAGGTAAGAGACCCAAATTCCCAGCTTCCTTCTCAGATTCCTGGCCCTGCTCCCATCCCAGGGACATGACACATAGATAAACAAACACAGGAGAGAGAGAGAGAGAGAGAGAGAGAGAGAGAGAGAGAGAGAGAGAGAGAGAGAGAGAGAGAGAAAGGGACACCCAAAGAGAATTTCCTTGAGCGGTATGGAGTGAAGAGGGAGGGTAGAGGATGGGAAGTGCTGGGATATGGAGGAGAAGGAGGGAGTCTGGTGACTCCAGAATGATAGTGTTGACCCAAGAGGAAAAAGGCAACCCTGCAAGCTTACCTTACACCTCTTAAAGAAAGCCCTGCCCTGTGCCTAAAAATCCATTTGACAGTGAATGAAAAAGCAAGCTGTCCTAGCTAAAATTCAACATGGCTCTGAGGTAAACATTTATTCTATGACAGTTTGAAGAACTGCATTAGTGCGACTAATACTTCCTGAGGAGTCATTCCACACCATTGATGTATATTGAATTTAAGGTCAATTAAAACCTCTAGATCCTTTCATTCTGGTAACTGCTACCAACCTCAGCCTCATGTATCTGAGACTGACTTTCCCTGCCACTGGGGAAAATCCTGGATTTCTTTCCTTGGGACCTAACTGAATTCAGCGCTGAGCAAACAAATTAAATATTCCTTAATTTGTTTATGGAAGCATAAATGGGGTGTATTTTAATTGATGTGATTTAAATTTATATTGAGAATTTGCAGACCCCTTTAATGCAAGTTGACCTGCAAGAGTATCTTGGTGAGTGACCATTTTTATATCACCAGAAACTGAGCTAGGACAAAGATAATAGAATTGTTATAAGGAGGTTTGAGCTATGACTCTGCAATTATAGTCTTAAGAAAATGTATCTGTTGGTTTTTTATTTATTCCAAAATTCAGTCGTTTAAAACAATCTTTTAGCTCATGAGTCTCTGGGTTAACTGGGCTGAGCTTGCTCTGCTTATCTCTACCTTCCTCATCATGACGACGTGGTAGGTCAGCTGGCTGTGATGGTAGTCTGTTGACCTGAGTGGCTCCATATGGCTCCTCATCCTCCAGCTGCTTGGCTTGGACTCATTTGCATGGTGGTCTCAGAATTCAAACCTCAGCTTCTGTCACACTTTTTAATGTCCCATTGGCTAAAGCAAGTCAAATGGCCAACCCAGACTCAAGATTATGGAGAAATACTGGAGGGAGGAGAAAAGGGGGTGGGAGGGAAGGGGGCAGGGGTAAATGGTAATGAACAGAAAATTAACTTGGGCTGGTGAATACACAATACAGTGTACAGATGATGTGTTGTAGAATTGTGCACCTGAAACCTGTATAATTTTGTTAACTAGTAGGAAAACAATAATAATACATAAGTAAATCTGTAAAGAAAAGAAAGAGAAAGAAAAAGATCACTGAGAAATAAACGTTGCCTTTTCTGGGTGGATCTGCAGATCAGATTTCTAGGGTGTGAATGCAGAGAAGGGAGGAATTTGACCATTTTGACGTCTATCACAGGGAGGTGGTAGAATCTTTTTTAATGAGGACTCTAAGGAGGAAGAAAGGAGTATCATTGTCAATGTCAACTTGCTTAGTTAGAGATGAAACAAATGAGAGGATTTTGTTTCCAGGTATTAGTTACACTAAATAACCTTCTCATTTGAAAAATCTAAAATCTCTATAAATTTCTTTTACAACTTTTTTAATACACATTACTGTGCTGACATGAAAGGAAGAGGTGAGAAGCAAAAATAAAAGCAGAAATCCTGCTGGGACAGCCAATGCCAGGTTTAATCCTGACGGTTTATGCTAAACCTGGGAGACCTTGAGCTTTTACCTTCGTGGCTATGGGGATCACGGAGAGCAGGAGGCGAAGCCTGGAGCCTGGCCAAAGCAGGAATCTAATAGGAGGCCTGAGATTTCCCTTCCAAAGGTCTTACTCTCAAGGTCTAGATGGATGAGAAATAAACTGGCTCTGGAAAAGGAGACAATACTGAGACACAGCTGTACCAACTTTGGCACTGGGTAGAAGAGAATAAAACTTGTATCAAAATGTCTATCCGTAATCCCCCCTATATTGTTTGTGGATACATCACAGGTAGTGAAACTAAAGAAAAGCAAGGGAACAACAACATACATTTTGGGATAATGTGGGAAAGGGATGCTTTAGGGAGAGGCAAATGGGCTCCCAAGATGCTGGTCATGCTCTATTTAGTAAACTTGGCAGCAGATACCTAGCAGTGAATTTTTTTTTTTCTTTAAATGGTACATACATATTTTATACATTTTCTGCATGCATAATGTATTTCATAATTTAAATATTTTAAGTAATGAGCTAGATCACCCTCAGGGGCCATTCTAATGCTTTGATTTTTAAGTTTCATAAAACTCAGTCTTGTTTGAAAAGTTGAAAATCAACTATATGCCAGAATTCTGGACTCTCAGATCTGGACATGTCCTCAGTTACTACCTAACCATCTCATTTTATAAATGAGGCAACTGAGCTCCAGAGAGGTGAGGCAACTTTTTCAAAGTCACATCTGAGTGGTAGAATAGGAACATGGACAGTGATCCACGAAACAGTACATGTTCCACTGAAAAGTGCCCAGGCTGTATGTAAGTCCTTCTAGGCTCTGTATTCACAGAGAGCATTCATTCTCCATTTTCTCAAAGCACTTCTAACTTTTCATATTCTGTCTATTGTCAAAGCATTTGAGCTGCTTCTCTTTAAAATTAAGATTATATTATTGCCAAAACCGGTTTGGCTCAGTGGTAGAGCGTTGGTCTGCGGACTGAAAGGTCCCGGGTTTGATTCCGGTCAAGGGTATGTACCTTGGTTGCGGGCACATCCCTGGTAGGGGATGTGCAAGAGGCAGCTGGTCGATGTTTCTCTCTCATCGACGTTTCTAGCTCTCTGTAAAAAAATCAATAAAATATAAATAAATAAATAAATAAATAAATAAATAAATAAAATAAATAAATAAATAAAAATAAAATTAAGATTATATTATTGATTTCAGAGAGAAAGGGAGAGGGAGAAAGGGATAGAAACATCAATGATGACAGAGAATCAATGATTGGCTGCCTCCTGCAAGCCCCACACTGGAGATCGGCCCCCAACCGAGGCATGTGCCCTTGATCAGAATCTTACCTGGGACTTTGCAGTCCCCAGCTGATGCTCTATCCACTGAGCCAAACGGGCCAGGGCAAGATTTTATATTTTCAATTCCCGGAATAATGACTTTTCTGGGTATGCTGATTCCACATCAGTTCTGCACTACAGACCCTCTGTGAGGCCTCCCCAGAGACACCTGTCCTGGGCCAGCTCGCCTTCCATCCCCATGCTCCCCACTGTACTTCCAGGAGCCCCTGAGATTCTTATCAGCCTTAGCATCCTTTCTACCAAAAACTTCCTCCTTTAGCTCCTTGGGGGAAAAGAAGGAACTCATTGTTCTAAGTTTTCTTGTGGCCTCCTGGTTTTCTCCACTGGGAGAGGTGACTCTGGGGGTGGAGTTGACGGGGAAACAAAAGAGAGAAAAGAAGGGAAAAAACAGGAGCTGTTTCCAATGAGGTTGTAAGCCATGACCTAACTAATTCCACAGCCATGAAGTCAATTGATCGGCCACCTGCATACCTCAGAACAGCCTGTACTCTGGCCTTGCCTGCCCTCCAAGCCCGGCATTGTTTGATGTGATGAATTTTCATGAAGCCTGATGGAGGAAGATCCCTTCCCCACGGCTCACCTTTACCACCACTTCCACCCACTCACCCTGCTTCTCCATGGGGTGGGCTTCAGGGCCTCCAGCTCTACCTCACACTGAGTTTAAAATGTGTAGGCCAATCGTGAGCCCTGAAGGAAGCTTTCCTTCTCCCTAGACTCACAGGATGGTAGTCAAAGAAAAGCTCAGGTCATTTTACATATAAGTAAACTGAGGCCCCAAACAAGAGAGGGCCAAGTTCATTGTCACCCAGAGAGTTAGTGGCAGGACAAGAACAAAGCCCAGGGGGCCTGACTCCCACCAGACCACTATGTCTCCTGCTGTGCTGCCCTGGCCCCCTGGGGCGGTGACATCTGGGGCTGCCCTCCTCACTCTCCCTGGCCCTGGAAGCCAGCCTCTGGCCTGCAAGGTGAACAAACACTTGCGAAATATTTCTGGCATCCACCTGAAATTCGCTCCTATTTTAACCTGGCTGCTTTTGCAGAACAACTTTCCTTATTCAAGATGGGGTGGTATTTACTGGTGTGATGTCACCCAGTCCAAGCCAGGTCCTCACACTTACAGGCTTGGAAACTCTGTCTCATTGGTTTCCCCACTATTGGCCACACTTGAGAAAGTTGACTCATGCTAATAAAATCCTCAGGAAACCAATGTAGAAAACCAGAGGGCCTGTTTATTAACGTAAACAAGAGCTGTAACTCCCCATTGTTCTAGTGCAGTGGTCGGCAAACCGCGGCTCTCAAGCACATGCGGCTCTTTGGCCCCTTGAGTGTGGCTCTTCCATAATACCACGACCTGGGCGAGTCTATTTTGAAGAAGTGCCATTAGAAGAAGTTTAAGTTTAAAAAGTTAGGCTCTCAAAAGAAATTTCAATTGTATACTGTTGTTTTTTGGCTCTGTTGACTGATGAATTTGCCGACCACTGTGCATGTTACTCTAACCAGCCATTTCTCTCCCAAAGGCAATCTATGTAGAAAGTCAAGTGATCAGACAGCTGCTTGATGAATGCACTCAGAACAAAGGAGCTGGTCTGAGGTTTTGAACGGACTCTCCAGAGGCCTCTGATTGCCGACCAGCCCCTTTCTGGCTGGCCCATCCTTGCTTTATCATTTCTTAAAATATATTTTTAATGATCTCAGAGAGGAAAAGAGAGGGAGAAAGAAACAGAAACATTAATGATAAGAGAGAATCACTGATTGGATGCCTCCCGCACATTCCCCACTGGGTGGGGACTGAGCCTGCAAACCTACGCATGTGCCCTTGACTGGAATGGAACCCGGGAACCTTCAGTCTGCAGGCCTATGCTCATCTCACTGAGCCAAACTAGCCAGGGCCCATCCTTGCTTTAGCTGGATCAATACACTCAGAAGTTCTGGTGGCGCTGAGAGCCATTCGATCTCTTAGAAGAAACTTTGCCTCTTTCTGCTCTGCCCATTATGTATTGATTTCATAACTCCACTCTCAAGGAAATCTCATTTCCTACCTTTCTAAGTTCTTTCGAGGAAGAGCCATGTGTGATTCAGTTGTTCACCTATGATTATATCCACCTACTCTTCTGTTCTCTGTTGTATACATCTTCATGTTGTCCAAAAGGACATCCCCAAAACCTAATGAAATGCCTCATAAAATCATGTTGCCTCTCTATTCAAAAGCTACCAAGACAATTGATCATTTTTGCAACTCAGTAATGAAGAATCACTAACATCTTCTCTCTACTTTTGTATATGTCTATGTTTTGTTTTTTTAAAATAACTTCTTTATGGTTTTAAAAACTAAAGAAAAAACAATTCCTAGCTTCTTAGTATAGCACAAAGCTAGACCTGGGCCCTCTTCCACCGGCCTGTCAATATTTCCATGTAGCACTGCCCTCCAATCCCTGAAAATAGCATTCCTTCCCCAGCCCCATCTCCATACAAATATCACTTGCAACTTCCTGCCTCTATGCTTCAGCTTATTCTGTTCTTCAAAGTTCAACATAAGAGCTGCCTCCTCCAAGAAGCCTTCCCCACTGATTGTGCTCCCTACTCACAGAATGTTCTACCTGCACCAGCCCATGGCCTGTCACCATGACTTATGCTCAGTATGATCTTCCTCAACACACATATGAGCTCTTCACAGTTTGGGGACTGTGTTTATCATTCATGCCTGGAAACAGATGCACTTTTTTTGGCTGTGATGAGGACAGATTATAATCTTCAAATCATCCATCCCACTTCCATTGTAAATTGAATCCGTTTTGGGATTTGGAGTGCATGGTCCCCATACCTAAAACACCTAGCCCAGAGTCATGCTTGTAAGAATTGCCCCAGAATTTTATAACTGAATGATTCTTTATCAAATTCATGATACATCAGCATGTAGCATAGTGTGAGCCACATGGCCTTAAATTTTCATTCATTGTTGAGAGGATTGTATAACATTAGTGGTCTCAATTGGTGTGCACCAGATCACCTGGGGAGTGTGTTAAAATGCAGATCCCAAGCCCAGCCCTAGGGAGTCTGATTCACGCCCAAGCATCTGCATTTTAAGAAGCCCAACAGGTGATCCTGATGTGAGCGGTCTTCAACCCATACTTTAAGGAAAACTGGCCCCAAAGACCCATGAGTCTGATGTACCACCATTCTTTTTTTCTTTTCTTTTTTAAATATATTTTATTGATTTTTTACAGAGAGGAAGGGAAAGGGACAGAGAGCTAGAAACATCAATGAGAGAGAAACATCAACCAGCTGTCTCCTGCACACCCCCTACTGGGGATGTGCCCACAACCAATGTACATGCCCTTGACTGGAATTGAACCTGGGACCTTTCAGTCTGCAGGCCGATGCTCGATCTACTGAGCCAAACCAGTTTCGGCTGTGCCACCATTCTTTGGTCACTCATGACCAAACCAGATACTGGCCTTGTCTCCAACAAGACCCTCATGCTTGCAGACCTTCCCTGGACTCAATCTGCTCTTCTTTCTCTCCTGTTTCCTCAAGTGTGTGGCTGTGGCCTGGCCCAGTCGGGCTTCTTCTTCAAGAACCAGGAGTACATCTGCACCCAGGACTACCAGCAGCTCTATGGCACCCGCTGCGACAGCTGCCGGGACTTCATCACCGGCGAGGTCATCTCCGCCCTGGGCCGCACCTACCACCCCAAGTGCTTCGTGTGTAGCTTGTGCAGGTGAGCGGGAGGCCGGATCCTCTGCTGAGCCCCCAAGGAAGGGAAGAAACGGCCTTTCCCAGGCAGTTCTGGGGCTTTCTGGGCTTTAGGCTGGACACTTTGGTTTCTAGAATCTCAAGGGTGGAAGGATCTAATAGCCCAGTGGTTTTCAAACCTTTTAATAAATAGCTGAACCCTTTTGTCAAATGTGATCTAATGTAAAACACTACTTTGTCCTACAATGAAGACAGTGAGGACCTGAGCCCTCACACACAGCCTCTCATTTCCCATCAAAAGGCCCAAAGGAACCACTGAGTTCCTTAACCTCAGTACTCAGTTTGGAAGCCATGCATCTGGCCGCACACCCACACTCAGCTACCTGTGTATTGCCTTCCTCCAGGATCCTGGCAAGTGACTCCATCCCTAAGCCTCAGCTTCCCAATTAATAAAATGGGCATCAAAACCATTCCAACCTCATTGGATTTTCATGAAGATCAATGAGATGAGGCACCCAAAGATCTTAGCTCAGTGACTGATACATAATTGTGTCCACTTTTATTAGCATTATTATTTTAATTATCATAATGATAATCATCTAGCCTCTCAGGGTATCTGATAGGTGAAGGAAATCTCACTCCTTCTTTCCTTCCCACTCCTAGCATCCCAATCACTTGTTAACTTAGTAAGTGTACATTAAGGGTCCACTGTATGCCAAGTGCCACATTAAGGACATAAAAAAATAAACAAAACCTCAACCCTGACCACAAATATGTTATAGTGTAATGGTCTGTTCTGATTAAGTTATAAGTAAAACATATGCATTTTTAAACTGAGAAAGGGGTTTATAGATTAACTAGTAGCCCTGAGCACGAATCCATGCGCCAGTAGGTCATTGCTGCCCTCCTGTAGCTCTCCACCTCCTGCTTGCTTGCTGCCCTGCCTTCTCCTGTAGCTCTCCACCTGCTGCCCTGCCCTCCTGTAGCTTCCCCTGACACCTCCCCACTTCTCCCCACCCTCATAGCTTGCTTCCCTGCACCCTCCTGTAGCTCTCCGCTGCCCACTTATAGTTCAGTGCCCCACCCTCCTGCAGATCTGTGATCTGGTCATCACACTCAGTTGTTACGCCTCATGTAATTAATGAATAATTAGCACATTCTTCTATTATATAGGATTATCCTCCCCATAAAATAACCACTTGTTCGTTACTGATAAGGGTTTTTTATTGAGACCAATGACAGTGTGAAAGAGGTAGAATTCATTCATCTTCTATCTCTTACAACCTGGGCTCTGGGTTCTGGATTCCCAGACCCACCAGAGGTTAGCACAGTATGGTCCATACAGTATAAAATTTTGTCAAGCACCATAGAGATGTAGTATCTCCCCAAGCTCATGCCATGTCCCTTTACCATGAGTCAATGCCTGAACTATGCAAATGCTGCTGCCCAACTCTTGCCCCCAGGACACCTTCCATCATCCCACACTGCTTACACAAGAGCAGTGGAGCCACTGGCAGCCTATGTCAAGGGCTATGCTCAGAGTCTGTGTTGATGAGTGTCCAAAACCCGATGCAAGAGGAGCTGGATGGTGGGATGGACAGTGTAGGGTATTGGATGCAGTGTATACTTAGTTAGGGAGGACGGCCATGTACGAGCTTGAGAACTCGGAGCTGCGGGACTCAAAATGCACAGATGAGAACTTGGAGCTGCGGGAGGAAGAGGTTGTTTATGGACTTCTAAAGGTCCTGGATGGTAAGTTCAGCAGCTTAATGAGTTCTCTTAGATGTGCAGGGATAAATCAAGTTGGGATGTAAACAATCCTTCCAGAAAGAACAAAATCAAGGAGGAGTTACTAACCACTTCACTCACCTGATAAGAAATGTATGCTTAACTAAGTGTCATGACTCTCCCCGTGTTGAAATCATGTAACTAGCCCAAGTGGGCTTCCAGTTCTGGCCCTGGCCCTAACTGAATGGTTTAGTCAGCCTGACCCTAGGAACGGTGCTTGAATTTATCTGGTGCTCTAAAGGCAAGCTGTGTGTGTTACCAAAGAGCTCTGAGGATGTGTGCTGTCAGAGCACCAGCAGACACAGAATCCCTCCAGAGAAGACATATTGACTCTCTCCCTCCCCCCCTTGCAGGAAGCCTTTCCCCATTGGAGACAAAGTGACCTTCAGCGGGAAGGAGTGTGTGTGTCAGACGTGCTCCCAGTCCATGACCAGCAGTAAACCCATCAAGATCCGTGGACCAAGCCGTGAGTCCTCCCCACTGGGCACCTACCTCCCTGTCTCCCAGGGCTCCCCTGTCTCAGCTCCATTTATGGCTTCTGCAGGCCTAGAGAGAAGTGTAGGAGGTTCCCAGCAGGGAGGACTTCTGAATCATGACCCAGTTGGCATGTGGCCCAGACTGACAAGCTTCCCTAAGCACAAATGCAGAGAGAGCAGCTGCTGACTATAAACAGTGATGGCCTGTGCCATTGGGTGGGCTTTTCTGGAATGAGCTGGGCTCCTGATCTTATCTCCCCTCTACATCCACCTCCCAAGGGCGCCCCAATGGAGCTGACCAAGTGTTTTGCTGCCGGTGGTTCTCCATTTTTACAAGCCCCACTAAAAGGGAATTCTCAGACATGTCTTACAAAAGAGAACATGTGGGAGTAAGCCACAAGGGTTGTGCTAGTGTCTCCTAGAGTGTGTTCTGTGCACCGCTGCATCAGCACCACTGCAGAACTGGGAAAAACACAGTCCCAGGCCCACTTTGGACTTATGGGAAGGAACTTAGAAATCTTCATTCTTATAATAATAAGCACCCTGGGTGATTCATTCTCTGTTCATAAGATTGACGATCACCATCTAGGAATGAGAAGGACTTCCGCCATGCTTTAGCAAATGTCATATTTTATCACTAAACCACAGGTTAGGGGGAGGGGAACTTAAGATAAAGCGTATACCTTGGAACAGTCATTCTAATTTGTGGAATGTCCATTCCACTCAAGTGTGTCCGGCAGTAAGATGTCTAAATCACTGTTCCCAGACACCCCTGTCAGGCTACTGACATATACACAGGGACCCGGCCCCCTGGGTCTCAGTAAACCACACCAGGCTCCAGTATTCCTTCATGCTATGTGACACTCACTGGCCTTGTTGGAAGAATCAATGAAAACCCATTAGCTTTCTGTGCTGCATCACTGTGTTGGTGCAGGGGAATGTCAGCCATAGCAGCAGCAGAGTCAGTATGCTAGGGCTACATCCTGCTGAGGTGGGTGAGCACACAACACCCCAGTCAGCAGGGTTGGCTCCCAGGGGCTCCACTAGAATCCTCCCAAGGTGGTGAGCTGGACAGAAAGACCACGGGAAGGCTCACCCTTCCCTTCTTTCAGTCAAATTGAATCTGTTTGTAGGATGAACAATAACAGTTTGTTACTCTGAGCATGTTTCTACCATCTCAGGGTGGCTGAGTGCATACACTGTGATCTTTCATAATTCTTTGAAAGATCATGCAGAATAGCAGCAAGGCCAGGATGCTGGGATGCAGAACAGTGGCCCTGTGACTGATGCTGCTGAAGTACCCAGAGGCAGTGGGACCACTTATGAGGCAGCAGAGAGAAGGGAGCTGGGAGTCAGGGGCCTGCCAGCCTTTTGCGTGATGCAAAGCAGCTATGTAGCCTCCCTGGTGCTCAGTTTACCCAGCGTGGTAGAATGCAAATGTATTAATGTACAGGAATCAGACTAACATACATCATCGTGCATAAAGTGCTAATATAATGTGAGGTATGTTGTCCACTTGGAGGTTTAATCTAGAAAGCACTTCAAAGGTGAATGGAGAAGATTCCTGAATCGATCATTGTTGCTCTCAGCTTGTGTTGTGTGTTACTGTGTGCATCGGATCTCGGACAGGTGGGAGGCTCCTCAGCTGAGTGTGGGATTCTTACATGTGAATGCGTCCTCAAGAAGAGGCTACTCAGTGTCTCCACCATAATTCTGCAGATCAGGAGGTAGAGGAAGAATGGATAATTGGAAGCAAGTGAGCATATGGACAGAACTCCAGGGGGAGTACCCACGACTATGCTCATCATATTACTCACAAAGTAAAGACATCAATCTGTGCATCGACAGAGCACATGTGTCATAGAAATGTTTTCTGCCTGAAGGTCATTCCTGTCACTGCTGCAAATGACTAGAGGGAATGCTGGAAGGTCTGCTGAGTTTCCAAAGGAAAGAGGGAACTAAAATCAATTTCTAGAGAGCGCTAAGATGAGGAAGGCATCATGGGGGGGGAAAAAAAGGAGAAAAAATGTGATGTCTTTTTTATCTAAAGGAATGTGAGTTTTATCTGGAGGGTGAATAAAGACTTTCAGGAAAAGCAGGCATTATATCTAATGAAAATATGTCAAAAAGGATACTCAGGAACTGTTAAGAGGGAAAAAACCATGTAACTTTCCATAGGAAGAAGAAACGTTTCCTCACAGACTTCATTGATAGGAATCAGCAGCAGTAGTGGCATTACAATCATTACCTCATCACCATCACAACCATCACCACCATAACTACCAACAACAGCACTACCACCATCACCTTCACCCCCACCATCACCATCACAGCCATCATTATCTACCAAAATCGTCACCACTATAACTATTAACACCATCACCACTGCTAACATTGATTGTTACTATTGTCCAGGAATACAATAAGTTCTCTCTCTCTTTTTTTTAAAATGTTTTTATTGATGTCAGAGAGAGGAAAGGAGAAGGGAAGAAAGATAGAAACAAAAATGATGAGAGAGAATCATTGATCTACTGCCTCCTGCACATCCCCTAATGGGGATCAGGCCCGCAACCCGGGTAGGTGCCCTGACATGCTCAACCACTGAGCCACACCAGCTAGGCTACACTATATATACTAACTCATTTAATCATTACAACTCTATGAGGGAGATAAGACTAATTGATGACCAAAATGAGACTCAAATAGCATAAATAACTTGCCCTAAATCACACAGACAGTAAGTAACGGAACTGCGATGTGAGCCCAGAGATGTCCTTCAATCGCAGACATGTTTGCTCATTAGGAAGGGGGTCTGTGCCTGGATTAGTTGCCTAAAACAAGATGGGGAGCTTGCTATGACTCATAAAACTTACTCATTTTTGCTGATCTAAGCAAAATGAATGGAGCAGTTAAAAAAAATGGCTATGTGTGGATCTTTTGAAACCTCAATAAACTGAGGAATCTGGGAGGAACAGGTGGAGGCATCATACCTTCTGCCAGCTGAAGGTTGTAATTTTGGAATAGAGTGGAACATATGAGCAGTGGACAGCTGGCTTGCAGAAACCAACTAGAAACAGGGTGTGGTTATGACATGAGACTTGTGGGCTCCTGGATCGGGTGCCTGAATGAAAAGAGAAAGAAAGATGAAAAGAGTTCTGATAAATATGAAGCCAGAACAACGGTTAAAAACACAAGAAGGTGAAATTGGAGACACAGATGCAGTCTTTGTGGCCTAGAAAGCTAGACCAGATACCTGGACCTTCAGGTTCTTGTATGCCAGTGGTCAACAAACTGTGGCTCGTGAGCCACATGCAGCTCTTTGGCCCCTTGAGTGTGGCTTTTCCACAAAATATCACATGCAGGCACGCATGTACAGTGCGATTGAAACTTTGTGGCCCATGCGCAGAAGTCGGTTTTAAGCTCTCAAAAGAAATTTCAATCGTTGTACTGTTGATATTTGGCTCTGTTGACTAATGAATTTGCCGACCACTGTTCTATGCCAAACATGGGCAAGTCACTTCAGACTCCTGACTGTCTATAAAAGGGGAGGGGGTGCCTAGCCTCTCTAAACTATTATGTTCTAAAGCCTGTGATAACTGTAATGGGGGTTTGAGGGTAGTTTATCCCAGGAAAACAAGAAGAAGAAAATAAATAAACCCCAGAATATTTTCCCAGACCCCATCTAAAAGCCTGGGTCTTCAAGCATCTTGCAATCAGAAATGGTCCTGCCCCCAGCCTGTGCTAAGTGACGTTAGAAAGGTGCTGAGAACCCAGAGCCGGGTACTATGGGAGCCGCCTCCTTCAGCACTTCATCAGGGTCCCGACTTCCCACAGCTTGCAGGGGTTTACCCCCTTCCTGGACTTGCAGACTCATCATCTTCTCTCCCAGGACTGGCTCCCAGCTGGCTGTGCGGGCCTCCAGCCAGGCTCTCCCAATGTGGTGTGCAGTGTCTTTCTCCCCACTGCTCTGAGGTGCATTTGTCTTATGGAGCCAAACGGGAGGTTTGTCCTCTAGTAAACTTTGCCTCATGACCCTTTCCTCCTCCAGAGTGGGCCATCCGGTTGGCTAGGCCCCAGTTCCCAGCATCTCCCAAGTACCTTGGACGCTGGCTCCATTTCCTGCCCCTCCCCAGACACTGGTTGAGCAACAGGCAGCTGCCGGACCCCTTTCCCCCCATATTCTGTGGCCCCAGGGCACGTTTCAGGGTGACAGGGAAGGAGAGTGGGGATACCTTTCTGATTTGGAACAGTCTCATTAGACTTTTTGATCCTTGCCACTTGGGGAGGCAAACATTTGGTACAGAAGCACACTGGGCCAGACATGGTAAGTGCTATCCTTGCCTGGATGCTGTAAGGCCTGCTCCTGAGCATGGAGCTAGGCGAGAGAAGAGATTTAACCACAAAACATTGCCATTGAGCGTACAGCCTAAGGGTGAGAAAAATAGGTTCTAAGCTTATCCCCTGGAGCAGTGCCTCTCGGACTTTACTGAGAGCCGAGATCTTGATAAAATGCAGTAGTCTGGGTGGGGCCTTTGCTGCACCTGTGTGCAGCTCTCAGTGGTGCTAATGCTGCAGGTCCAGGTCATGGGTAGTAGCATGGGCTTGCTAGCTACCCGAGAGCAAGCAGCTCAGGGTCCCCTCTGGATAAACAGTGGTCAGGATGACAAGCAGGAACTTTCTGGAGGAACCCTGGAAGGTCTTTCTTTCTCACTCACACTAATGTTGAGAAGCCAGGGCTCCAATGGCCTTTTCTCTCCCCCAGTGGAGCCCTGGATGTGTGCCAGGGCCAGGGTGGGAGCTGTTGTGGGAAAACGTGTTCACATAGGAGTCCTTGACCTGGGCTGAGATGATGGCAGTGCTCAAGGGGCCCGGGATGCTTTCCTCAGCAATGTCCTCTTGTGTTTGCAGACTGTGCTGGATGCAAGGAGGAGATCAAGCATGGCCAGTCGCTCCTGGCACTGGACAAGCAGTGGCACGTCAGCTGTTTCAAGTGCCAGACCTGCAGTGTCATCCTCACCGGGGAGTACATCAGCAAGTGGGTCTCTCTCCCCTCCCTCCGGCTTCCTGGGTCTGGGCATCCTACCAGGCTGCCCCATTGGCCTTCGCCTACCTCTCTAGCATCATCTCCCTCATTTCCATCCAGCTACCACATTACAGCCTCAAACAGCATCTCACCCACATTGGACCTCCCACTACGTTCCATTGCCTGAGATACTCTTCTCCCTTCTTCACATGCCCCTTCCCTTCCCTCTGGTTATAGGTGCCACCCTGTCCTCATACCATCTCTTACCACCTCTGGTCCTCCCCTACTGGCCCTCATCATGCCCTGATTGTTTCCTTCATCCAGGCTAACACCATTTGCCATTATATATTTATCCATGTTAACTTTTCAGTAATGATAATTATACTTGCTATCATTGAGTTTTTATTATGTATAAGGAACATATTAACTGCTATATATGGATTATTCCATTAAACCCCAAAACTACCATCATGACGTATTTACCCCCATTTTAAAAACTGTGGAAACTGAGGCAAGGGGAGTGAGTAACTTGCTCCAGCGATATTTCATGTCTGTCCTCACCAGGGTGGGAACTTTTTTTTATCCACTGCTGCCTTCAGCACAATGCTCAACCCACAGTCAATAATCTAGTTGTTGAATGAGTTCAATTGAGATGAGAGGAGATGATTGATGGGCAAACAAAGCCATCAGGAGAGAAGGCCCAGCTTCTAGGAGCCTCACACTGCAGCACCTGACAAGCCACCTAGTGACCACATTTATATTCGAGAACCTAAAAGGAATTATGGCCACAGACGCTCACAGCTTTGACACTTTGTGACCTGAACACGTCCTAGTATCACTCTCTGGCCCGGCACTGGGTCCTAGTGAGCATGTAAAGTATAGCATACATGGTTTCTGCTGTCAGAAAAGTTATAGTCTAATAAGGGAGAGAAGCTATATACATAAAGAATTATGATCCCAGGGAATATGTGATAGGGAGCTCAGGAGAGTTTTTATTCCTTAAAACCTTTTTGATCATAAGTGACAGAAAACCAAACTTAAGCTCACTTAAAAGCAAAAAATGGAAGTTCACTGACTCATAGGAACAGGAAGGCCAGAGGCATACTAGCTTCCAGCGTGGTGAATCCAGGAGCTTAGGAAATGTCTAGCACTTTAGAAGTCTCTATCTATCTCTATCTCTATCTCTATCTCTATCTCTATCTCTATCTCTATCTCTTCTTCTCCCCTCTGCTTTCCATTATATTGAATTCATTCTCAAGTACACTCTCCCCAAGTGGTAAGATGAGCATCAGCAACTCTAAGCTTTCTTTCCATCAGTTTAGCACAACAGAGAGCGAGGCCTCTTTCCCAAGAACTCCAGTAAAAATCCCATGGCTGCTCTGATTTGGCCACCCTTGGGTCACATGCCCATTTCTGACCAATCACTGGCCAGGAGGATGTGACCCCCTAGAGACAGAGTGCAGCCCTCTGTGGCCCACATTAACTGCAATGGGGAGGGGTGACAAGGCACTGATGCTGACAGAAGGGGAGACGGATGCTGGCCAGGCAGCACTGGTCTGTGTCAGAGGCCCAAGCGAGGGCTTGGAATATTCCGGGAGAGGAGGGATCCCTTCTAACCAGCAGGAAGTGGAATCTGGAATCTGTGAGAGCTTCATGAAAGATGGTGATATTTGAGCTGAATCTTAGAAAGGGGATAAAATTTGAAAATACAATGAAGGAAAGCTTCTAGGCAGAATGTCTAGCCTGGGCAAGGGTAGGGAGGTATGGGACACATCCATCTGTTGCCTGGAGCTCCGGCGTGTGCACAGGTGCAGTAGGGTCCAAGGCTGCAGAGGTGACCTGAGGCCACATCACTAAGACCATTCTGAGTGCCATGTTGGTAGGGCTTAGCATTCTCCTCTGTGCTTGCCAAATAAGGAGTGCCCTTAGTGAGTCTGGGAGCCTAAGTCAGAGTTCTCTGGGGAGTAAGGGTTTGCTCAGAGCTCCTCTCAAGGAGGCTCAGCCTAGATTGCCCACCACACCCTGGGTCTCTGCAGCCTGGCTCTGGGCTCTTCCTCTGTCCGGCAGCAGAACGGCAGGTGCTCAGTGGCACTGGCTCTGGCATTGATGCCTAGGTTAGAAGCCCAGCCCACATGACCTTGGCAAGACACTTCATTTCTTTGAGTCTCAGTTTCCTTTTATTAAAATGGGGATAAGAAATTGAACTACCTAATAGGGCTGTGTTGTGTAAAGGCTCAGAGATATGTGCTTCGTACCTAATAAGTACCTAGTTAGTATTAATTTTACTTTTGCTTCTTTTTTAAAAAATATTTTTTATTGGCTTCAGAGAGGAAAGGAGAGGGAGAGAAAGATAGAAATATCAATGATGAGAATCATTGATCAGCTGCTTCCTGCATGCCCCTTATTGGGGATCAAACCCGCAACCCAGGAAGGTGCCCTTTACCAGAATCAAACCTGGGACCTTCCAGTCCACATGCTGATGCTCTATCCACTGAGCCAAACCAGCTAGGGCTCTCTTGTCTTTTTAATCACATATATTTTAAATTCCCCAAGGCCTTGCCAATCCACGGGTCCAAATGCAGTGGTGTTGGCATTTATACCCAAGTTTTGCTGGTTCGTTGTCCCTATGTCCTGACAAATGACTTTATCCCCTGCTGAGTCACTCTCCCACACCCATAGAGGGAGGGAGGCTTGTCTCTGGACCACAAACAACAGTCTCACCTCCAGACTTTGCTGGGCATGGGTCCTCACTGCTGCCTCTCCTTCAGGAAAACAGTGACTGCCCTGCTGCCCAGGGTGGGCTCCCAGCAATCCCAGCACGGCAACAACTTGGAGCTGGAACAATGACATGCCTGTCCCTTAGTCTTTCTGTGTGTGAGCCAATTCTGTCACACCCAAAAGTGGGGGAAATGTTCCTCTCTTCTCACAAACAACAGCAGCACTCAGTGAGATGTCACCAGATCCAGTCCTTAGAGCTGCGCAGGGCCCAGAACTGAGCTAAACACTCTGAAGTTCCCAACTATCTCCACACTGATCCTTGATAGCTGAGCCCCACACATCCTCCTTGAATACCCTCCTCTTCAATCACAGGGGTTCCTCTGCCTGCCACTTGCCAGGTGCTTGCTAAAGGCCAGCACATGTCCTTTCATCCTCAGGAAAATCTGGGTGAGAAACCAAACGGACTGGGTATGAATCTAACTCTTGGCCCAAGGAGCTGGCTTTTCTCATCCACAGGGTTCAGGCTTCATACGGCTGCCTTAAGGATTAAATGAGGATAATCTATGTAAAACACCATCAGAGGGCCTGCCGCACACCAAGCAATAAATGTCATTGGCTATTAGTAGTAGGGGGTAGTATAAGAATAATTAACAACAATCTTATTACTGCCTGATAAGTTATAAAGCCCTGGGCAAGAATGGAGCACAGAGGAGGTGGTCAGGAGAGGTTCCTGGTATCTGGTTATCCAGGAGCACCGTCAGGAGACTCTTTCACCACTGGTAAAATTATTAATTAGAAGAGGAGCCCTTTAGGATACACCAAAAAAATTGATCACATTGATTACCTCCTGGTTTTCCTGGAAGAGAAACTGGGAGGGGCCGGTAGGAGGGTAAAGACTTTCCCTGTATGGCTTTGTAATGTGCCAAAGGCAAATATTATCTATGCTAAATACAATAACTCCTAATGAAGTTTAAATATTTTTTAAAGGAGCCCTTTGGGGTAAAGGGTCTTCAGAGAAAGAGTCTGGAGAATGTGCCGGGAGGAGAAAGAAGGAGAGTGAAAAAAGGAACAGCTGACCAGCAGCAGACCGTGGTTTCCAGACATGCTTAGGGAGTTTGTCAGTACACAGATTCCCCGGTCCCAGAGGTTCTCTGAATCCATAGATCTGAGGGGTGTCTGGGGAGTTTGGATTTTTAATGAGCTTCCCCAGTACTCCTAATCTTGGCCCAGTGCCCATCAACTGCAGGTCCTGGAACTTCCACAGACACCACCACCACCACCACCATCCCAACACCCCCCTCAATCCCCCAATCCCCCAATCCCTCCTGTCCCACCACCACCTCTGCCCCCCGGCCCACCACAGAACCTTCAATTTCCTCTTCCTGTGTGGATTTCCTCTTGCAGGGATGGCGTTCCATACTGCGAGTCTGACTACCACTCCCAGTTTGGCATTAAGTGCGAGACCTGTGACCGATACATCAGCGGCAGGGTCTTGGAGGTGAGTGGGTACAGGTAACTGTGAAGGTGTTTAAGCAGGAAGGCCTGTGACTCCCAAAAGTCATCACTGAAGCTAGAGAAGTCACCCTACGCCCTTCTGCCATAGCCTCCTCCTCCCCCACTTCCTCTGCTACAGCTTAGCTTGGTAATTGACCTTGAGCAGATAACCTTGCCTCTCTGGGTACACTCTAAATGAGAAGCTGAACAAAATTATCCCTGGTTCAAAAACGCTGTGATGGGAATATCAGTAACCTATCAGACTCAGATAGATTGCTAGTGAGTAACAATTATGATTTCTTTCCCAACCCTGCTAAAGAATGGAAGCTGGTTTTTTTTATTTTTTAAGCATTTGGTAAATGTGCTGATTTAAGAACCAGCTTGTCTAGCAGCCTGCTCCCTAAGCCCTTCTCTGGCTGGTCCATCACCATGGCAACAGCTTTCCTCCGCCTCCAGTGCACAGCTTGCTCTGCCAGTGAGAGACAACCTGTAGCACCCTTGCTGAGCCCCTGCCCGAGCCCCCATCCACTTGCCTTCCTGGCCTTCTTCCCCACACCCATGGGCCCAGAAAACCATCATAGCTTTGAGGCCCCCTACCTTGAAATATTAGAAACAGGAAAGAGTTTGGTGTAAAGGAAAAACAACAGCCTAAGAGCAGAAACAATTGGGTTCTAATATTCACTCAACTGCTAACTCATGCTCAGATGGGAGGTGAGTATCTTTGCCTTTCTAGACCCCTGTTTTCCTGACAGTGGCTAGGGATGGCACACTAGCTCAGCTGTCTGGAGCAGAATCACTCATTCTAACAAATCTGGTCAGTTGGTTGTGGTTCTCTGGAATCAACACTATGTTAAGAAGGATTCTGCAGGTACATCTAGGCTCAGCAGGAGAATGGACCCAGAAAGATTATTTTTAAAAATTGTAGGTTCCATTGATGCCCTAAGAGAGAATACGCTAAGCAAGTGCAGAGTTAATAAACTATTAAGCATTTCCAGGGAGTGCAACGTGGAAGATAGGGCCTAAAACAGGGGCACTGGCAGGGAGGGTACTAGACCCAGGTTTCCAAGGGCCGGACATCAGAGTGAAGAGTTTGTATGTAATTCACTGGGCAGCGGGGGCTTGTGGAAGGACCTAGCAGAAGTGACCTGCTTACTGCTGCACCTTAGAGAGGACAGCCGGATGTACATAGGCCAGATTTGAAGGAAAGAAACTGCAAGTGGGAGACCAGCGAAAAGGCCATGACCCCACAGGAAGGACTCAGGAGGCACAGTGGCCGTGGGAAGACCAACCCACCCTGTCTCCGAGATCATGGAAGTGGAATTCCAATAGCTTTGCAACTGTGAGGCAACTAGTAGACCTGAAGACTGAAAGGGAAGTGGCCAATAGTTGAACCAAAGTGTCAAGCCTGGATGAGAGGAAGTCTGGTGTTGCCTTCTGCAGAGGTGGGCAGACACACAGTGAGTTCATCTGGGGCAGGTTGTCACTGAAATTCCAGGGCAGTTTCAAGAGGGCAGTCTAATGTGGATCAGAGCCCAGAGACAACGGTCAGTCCTGGAGGGACCTAAAAAGTGCTAGGATTTGAATAAATGCACCACGGAAGTCGTCATTGGGATTTGAGAAAGTGAGAGGTAGAGAGCGCGCACTGAAGGCTACCTTGGGGGCTAGCTGCTTACAGGTGGCAGGTGGAGGCTGAGGAGTACCAGAGAGGGAGGAAGAGCAGTCGGGGAGGTGGTGAACAGGGGAGGGGCAGTGAGAGGCCAGACCTTCAAGAAGATGGAGTGGTCAGTCAGAGTGGTGGTCAGATTCTGCAGGGCAGGTAAGGGCTGAGAAAAGACTGTGGGTTGTAGAGTGAGTCGCCTGCAGGGGAGCCATTTGTTGGATTTGCAGGATGGTCTGGGAGGAGCATCCAGAGTGTAGTGGGATGAAAGGTCAGAGGGATGGGAGATCATAAAAGCAGACTTTTCCTTCAAGAAGGGAAAGAACTGGGATTACACGCAGGGCTGCGAATGGGAACTGTCTCAGCCTTTCCAGGCTGCTCTGAGATTGCCGGTGGAGGCTGACTTTCCCTGCCCGTTCCTCTCTTTTAGCGTCCTGGGCGCCTCCTCTCCTAGGGAAGCTGTTGAGGCTGTGTTTCAATTGATTCCATCCGTACACGGCTCCATTAGCATCTTGGACATATTGATTTTTTTTTTCTTAGAGCTGGAAGATACTTTGAGGAGTCAACTAGTTCACCCTCCTCACTTTACAGATGAAAATAGTGAGCCCCAACACATGTGATGCTTTTCCAAGGTCACACGCAATATTTCTGGCAGGGAGAGAGCAACCTCTAGGATGCCAGACACCTTTATCCCACACTGCTGCCCGCAGCTCGCAGCCACTCAGGGGGTTTTGAAGTAAGGTTATGTCATGAGAAATACATGGCTGGAGTGAAACAGACTTGAATCCCAATTTTACCACATCTAGCCATGAAACCTTAAGCAAGTCACTTTCCCTGAGTCTTAGAATCTTTGCCAATGGAGAATACTACTGTTATTTCACTCCTAATGGAAACATATATTGTTCTATTATTTCACACTAATAATAAAGAGCCCGAGAATAGTTCTGGCTTCAGGCACAGCTGGGTCAAGTGCTCAAACAAATGCATCTGCAATATCTCGCCATCTTGGTTCCACTTTCTTCTGTTGACTTTATTCTCAGGAAGGCTCCCCTTCATGATGGGGAAATTGGACCCCAGTGACTCCAGGCTTATTCGTCCTATCACTCCAAATCCCCAATGGAAGGAGAATTTCTCTTTTCTGATCACTCAACAAATATCCTGGGACAGCCTCTTACTAGACAATCTCTGGCTCATCTTGGAACCAGTATCTGGACCAGAGCTGGAGAACGCTTATTGGTGGTGTCAGCCCTACTTAATTTAACCACATGGAACTGACTGGGGAATGGGAAGTCCCACCCAGGAAAGGCTTGATGCTATTTCTGGAAGAAGGAGGAAGGATGTTGGCCAGGCAAAAACAACAGTTGCCCACTACAGGGCTCAGCACATTGCCAGGTACACAATAGGCACTTAATTAGATTCCGTTTCCCCTTCCCATCCCCTCCCCAGGTCACCCCCAAATCCCTTCCTCAGTGAAAGAACTGAGTATGCTGAGCACCAGCCATACTCCTTCCTTCCTAGTCCTGGCCAAGGAGAACCACAACCTGGTGCCCATGTGTTTTTCCTACCCTTGTGTGTGGTGCTCTCCAATATGGCCCCCTTTTTCAGGTAATAGATCTTCACCATATTTATTCACTATTTTCATGGTTTGTTACCAAACAAAATATCTCATCTTATCTCACTGACTTGGTTTCACTTATGCTGGTGCCAGCTGCTCTGGAAGCCTCCCACCCATTTTCTTTCCTCCCTTGAGTTGTTTTCAACGCCATCCATGGCCAGGGTGCTGAAGTGGGCAGGTACCTCTTTCAGCTGAATCTGTGTGGTGGGCATGACATGTAGGAAGATGCCAAGCTTTAGTTTTGCCAACATGCTATTGCCACCGTGGAAAAACAGGTCTATAATTCAAATGAAAAAGAGACACAAAATGGGAAGAGGCTACTAATTAAACCAATTATCCCTGCCACGATGTGGAGGAATCAGTGCCAGGACATTTCAGTTTGGGAAAACAGCAAGCTCCTTCCAGAGTTTGAACAGTCTGCTTTGATGACAATAAGGACGTTTTTATCATTGTGAGAACCACGCTGACAATGCAGAGTAAAACAAGAAATAGTGATGGGGTTGTTTTATTTTCCTTTTTTTAAAATATGTCATTTTCACATTTTTGCTAAGTTTTTAGACTAAATCAAGTATTTCTTGAATAAGCAAGTCTATACCAAGACTCCCCCCCCAAAAAAAGATTTGGAAAAGGCCTTCAGTGTTACAGAATAATTTTTTAATTGGAAGGAACTTGTTAGCATCAGACCAACTGATGGCTTGGGGATTAAGGAGGTGCTTTAACAACCACTCCCAATATCCATCAATTTCCTCCAGACATATAAAAACAAAACAAAAAAAAACTTTGCCCTAACATGCAAAATTCACCTTCAAAACAAATCCCAGCTTCTAGCCCAACCTGTGCACCAAGCTCCTCCCATGTGGGAATCCCAGAGCTGCCACTGAAGGGTTCCACACACCAAGTCCTCTTGGCTGGGATTATAGTGCCAGAGTGGTCAGCGTGGAGGGGAGTGAGGAGCTGGTGACGAGCCCTTAGGAGTCCAGCTTCAGCATTGCTCCTGGCTTCAGAGAGATTTGAGTCAGACATTCTCTGAAGCTAAAAATAAAAAATAAAAAAAATAAAAAAAAATTGCAGCTGCAAGTCATTTTGATTTTTCCTTAAAATAATGGTAGGGAAGGAAAGTGGGAGTAGGGAAGGGGGTTCACCAGACTAGGGTGAGCTGGAGATACCGTGTTTCCCCGAAAATAAGACATCCTTCGAAAATAAGACCTATTTACAGGTTTCCTTCAGAGTGAAATAAAAGGCATCCCCTGAAAATAAGGTCCCCCCTAGGCTAAACATGAGAGATTTGGTCCACTGATTCTGAAAGCAATGGAGTCACAAGAAATTCACCAGGAAATTCAGGAATTGGATTGTTATGATGATGTTCCAGAAGATGATGACATGATTATCACTGAATAAATGAGTAAATTCTTGATACTGTAGGATTGACAGTTTGTCTGGTTTGTGTTGACAACTACCTTATTACCGTACCTTATACAGGTAATAAATTTCCTTTATTTTCATTTAACAATAAATGTGTACCGTATTCTTCTTCATGGAAAAATAAGACATCCCCTGAAAATAAGACCTAGCGCATCTTTGGGAGCAAAAATTAATATAAGACACTGTCTTATTTTCGGGGAAACAGGGTAGGGATGGAGGCACCGAGGTAGAACAATCATAGGAGTGACCTGGGGATCAGAGGCTTGACAACAGGTTCTGGTTTTGTGGGCCCTTTGTCTCCTGTGTACTAAGAGTCTGTCTTTCCATTGTTACTCTCACAATATTTGCCATGTCTGTGAACCTCAAGTATTCTTTCTTAACTAATACTTTAAATTGTCTTTAAGTTGGCTCATTTACATATAATGAAATATATATAACTAGAGGCCCAGTACACGAATTCATGCACAGGTCAGGTCCCTCAGCCTGGCTGGCAATCCGGGCTGATTGGGTCAGTCTCGCCCATTTGGGGGGAGCAGGGAAACCACGGGAGGTTGGCCCGCTATAGGAGGGTGGCTGTGGGAATGCACTGATCACCAGGGGGCAGGTCCTACATTGAGTGTCTGCCTCCTGGTGGACAGTGCATGTCATAGCAATTAGTCGACAGGTCGTTGGTCATTCAGTCATAACGGTTACTTAGGCTTTTATATATCTAGGTAACAGGAAAGCCAGGATCTTGCAATATTGCTCATAACCAAAAAATAAATATAGTTCTAGCTAGATTTTACTGCTTGTGGAAGCTCCTGTTCTCATTCTTAAAAGGGTAAGTTTGGGATAGATGTTAAAGGCATACTGCACCAAACTGATACTTTCTCATTGAAAATAAATCAGAAGAATTGATAGAGGATTGAAAAGGAGAACATTTTTTCCCTTTGATCCAATGTTATTATCTCCTGGGCCCACGTACCCTATAGAAGCATCTGCTGCACTATCAGTGGTGAGGGCTCCATCCTTGGGGACATGCAGGGATGTCCCCAGAAAAAGCCTGGTTCCTCATCTGGAAATGAGGTGGAACTGGAAATGAGGTGGCCTCCAAAGGGCTCTTCTTCTGCAAGAACAGAAGTGTGAGTATCCGGGGAAATACCCCGAAATGCCATCATGGCCCATGCTGTGTAATTACTGAGCTTCCTAGATGAACTTTTAGATAATTCTGGTCTCTGCTATGTAGACTCCCATCCAACCTCAGGACCATGAAGATGCCAGCAAAACTAACACGCCCAGGAAATGTTCAACCCAACACACGCCCCTCCCCCCGCCCACGACAACAGCCCCAGGTCTGTGGTCTGCTATTTCTCCTTTTTATTTCCATAGGCAGGAGGGAAGCACTACCACCCAACATGTGCCAGATGTGTACGCTGCCACCAGATGTTCACTGAAGGGGAGGAGATGTACCTCACAGGTAAGCAAATCGGACCCCCTGTAAGGCATTCCAATCCACTCGTGACTGGAAAGGAGATACAATCGCCTTTTATTTCAATGTTATCTTGCTTTTGGCTTATCCTCGGGTTTGCAATTAACTCGCCCCTCTCTGGGTGGTTTGGGAAAGTTGCCGGTGTGGCTAATATGAAGTGACATGTAATCTGCCTTCCATCCCTTTGCACCTCCACCCGCTGCTTGGCTGGCCTGCTTCCCTGGCAGTGCTCTGACAGACTCCCCTGGCTCTGCCTAGGGGTGGGAGGTGGAGCTAGACAAGGCCCTCGGGGTCAGAAAACCTCAGAGGGATGCCCTGTGTTACAGAGTATCTGCAGCATCTCCCCTTCCTTCTCCCCACATCTGAGAGTATCACACCAATGGACTTTCAGGAGGCACAAAAAGGAAGGGGATGGAACCAGCACTCTCTTAGAAGCAAATCAGGCCTGCTTCCCAGGGTCCAGCAGGTTCAATCCTCCACTCTCTGCCCAGTCCATCGTCCGAGGGCATCATGGAGTTCTTGGCACAGCCCTGTGAAGGGGTCTGTGGGGCCCTTCCTTACCTACCAGTTTGACCTAGCATTTAGGACCCTCTCATGAGTTCTCAGACTGCCTGTCTAGCCTTGAACCAACCCAACAACTTAAGCTGCCAAATTTCAATTGTTTCTTTATCCATTCAACAATTATTTTTAAAATATATATATTTTATTGATTTTTTTACAGAGAGGAAGGGAGAGAGATAGAGAGATAGAAACATCAATGAGAGAGAAGCATCGACCAGCTGCCTCTTGCACACCACTTACTGGGGATGTGCCCACAACCCAGGTACATGCCCTTGACCAAAATCGAACCTAGGACCTTTCAGTCCGCAGACCAATGCTCTACCACTGAGCCAAACCGGTTTCGGCTCAATAATTATTTTTTGAGCAGGCTCTCCACTGGGGTCCATGAGTCCCAACCACAGCCCTATACCCATTGCTCTACAGTCCAGTGGGGGAGATGGATTGTAGTCCATAATCACACAAATAACTGTCAACCAGGATAAGTTTTGTGAAGAGGAGATGTATGGGACTATGCAAGCACATAACAGGGTGGGGAGAGGCATCAGGGAAGATTCCCAGAGAAGGAGGATAGGTTGGTGTTAGCTTGGCAAAAAGGGGAGAGGTGGAGTGTGTCAACCGGAGGGGACAGAATCTGCCAGGCTCTGAGGTGGGTAAAGAAATGACCAGTGTTGGAAACCTAGGGGAGTCTATATGGCCGAGGTACAGAGGTAAATTGGCAGGGTTGGGCCAGGCCTGTCCTTGTGGCTAGGATGGTGTTCAGCCCTCAAATGAGCATGGCCCCAGGCCTCTGGTTTTGTTTACATACCTTATCCTCAGCAAAGACATTTGTCTTCCCTGCCCTCCTTTGAAAACCCTACCATTCTGAGCCCAGTTTAGTCACTACTCACTTCATAAACCCCTCAGGTACCACTGACCCCACCCACAATTTAACACACGCCCTTCTCCCTGAGACCCTATATCCCTTTGTCTACACTTGGTCCCCTCCAGCTTGCATAAGAGTCTGGGCCAGCTTCCTGAGAGCCCTTGCTCCTGACACTGGCCCCACAAGTACTCACTCTACAAGTGATCACTGCTGGCTGAACTGCTGTGATTAGCCATCCCCAGATGTGTGCATATATCTTAGGGAGTAGTGAGTGTGTTAAGCTGTGGGTTTCCCTACAGTTCCCCTACAGTGCAGATCTAAGGCCAGGGCTGCAGTTACACAGAATGTGACTTCCTGTGAACCTATCTTAGTCACATATGCCCACATCCAGGAGTTCCTGCAAGATCAAATGAGTCTCTGCCTAGACCAGGTGTTCTCAACCATGGCACTGCTGGCATGTGGGGCCAGATAAGTCTTTGGAACAGGAACTATCCTTCATATTGCAGGGTATTTATAGCATCCCTGGCTTCTTCCGACAAGATGCCAATCCCTCTTCTTACTGTGACAACCAAAAATATCTCAGGCATTGCTAAGTTTCTCTTGGAGGCAAAATAATCCTTGATGAAGAACTATAAACCTAGATATATTCAACAGAATCTCTTATCATCTGCTCAAATGTTGGAACAGAAATTCCTGGGTTGGATGGTGTGACTCCACAACTACTTACTTGTATGTACAGTCACATAGGTGTTAGAGGTGGGAGGTCACTGGAGACTTTAAAGTAACAACCCCATTATATAGATGGGTATAGTGCGACCCAGAGGGAGGGAGAGACTTTCATGTGAACCGGAATGTGAAGGGGGCAGAACAGAACTGGCCTTACAACTCCCACTCCAGGACTCTCTGCACCTCACCTCCTGGGACCCGAGACCCAGGTCCCGCCTGCTTACTCAAGGACTAAACTGCCCCTTCCCGTGAGCATTGATCCCTTGGGGCCGGGGTCCCAGAGTGGTTCCTGCTGCAGGAACCTGCACTACAAACTAGAAAGCTCACCTGAGTAGCAGCATCACCTGCACAATGTCTTCATGGACCCTGACCACCTTGGGAATCTGGACTTTGCACTTGTTTTGAAAATTTATTGCCTGGTATTCCCCTCCCCATTCCCTGGATTAACACATTTTCTAGCATTAAAACTGCCCCCACATTCACACCCATAGAGCAATCAACACCTTTACCTTTCTGCCTGAATTCTCCATCCCAATCTTTCCCCATGTGGTGCTTTCAATCCCGGTTCCACTGCTTCCTAAGATTTTACCTTGGGTGAGTCTCTTAACACTCTGAACCTCAGATACCTAGCCTATCAAATCAGTTTTTAATAGCCCCTATATAGAGAAGTAAGCTAGGTTCCTGGCACATGGCAACCTCTTAGCTCATTCATTTAACAAATATCTATTGAGCATCATCTGAGTGCCCGGAGCTGCCCTAACAACTGGAGACATGGCAGTTAGCAAGTCAGACAAGTTCCCTGCGCTCATGGAGCGCCCATCCTCATCTATCACTACCTTCTAAGCTCTGCTTCTGACCAGGACTCCACAGAATGCTGAAAGAATTAAGTGACGAAGGGAACAGCTTTGTGATCATGAGAGAGAATGTACAATCAAACTTAGGGTGCAAGTGCCTCCAGGAGGTAGGAGATATTCTTGGTGATGAAGACGGGCCTGTTACTCTCCCCCTTAATTATCCCCTTCCCCACCCTCCTGGCTCCTGGGAGAGTGGGAGTAATTGCAGGGCCTTCAGGGACCTGCCTTGAGAGATGCTGAGTGATCCTGGAATGAGGGGGACCAGGCCATCCAACGCTAGAGTCACGCTGACTTGGGCTGTGGGCGTTTGGGGAGGATGTCAGCCATGGGGGGGAAGGGGAGCCTGGAGGGAGGTTCTGCTACTACTGAGAGCTTGGCCTGTGATTGCCTTGGACATGCTCCCTGAGTGGGATGATATTCCCCTGAAATAGCAAGAAAACTGTCCTCCCAGGCAGCACAGGAGTGATGAGAATTGGCTTAGAGCAGGGACTCCTGGGTTCAAAGGTCAGCACTTCCATTAATGGGCTGTGACCTTAAGAAATTACTTCTTTCTCTGGGTCTCTTCCTCCACCTATAAAATGAAGATAATTACACTGTCTTTCGTTCCTACTGAGGCCATGCTATGCGGCAGGCTCTCTGTGATGTGCTGGCTGCTCAGAGATGAACGAGGCAGGTGTACCTGCTTCCGAATGGAGGGTACACTATAAGGAAGGGAAGACAGACTTTACTCAAACAGAAATGCAAATATTCAATGACAAGCTGTGTGATAAGTGCTCTGAAGGGGGAATTTGGGGACAATGGAGATGTTTTAAGGCTCCTGATCTAGTAAAGATCTTGAAAATGAGTAGGAGGTGGGAGGGTGAAGAGGGGAGAGAAGATTGTGGAGGCAGAAAGAACAGCAGGTGCAAAGATCCATGGTGAGAGGAAGCATTGCATAGTGGAGAAACTGAGGCAAGCCCACGTGGCCAGTGCTCTGAGAACAAGCACACTCCACAAAGTCCTCATGGATATTCAGGAGATGAATGTGAGGCTGCAAAGTGCCACACAAAGCAGCATACAGGGGGGACGGGGAGACTGTTCGGGAGTCTGTGAAGTGCATACACCCAGCCTTGTGGGTTCCATAGCCAGACACAGAATGCACGGTGCTGGCCATGGGGCTGGGAGGTTCTTTTGGGCAGTTTATTTGTGTTATCATTGCTGTGTGATGACTTTCTGACGGGCTCTAATTGGGCAAAGTCTGACATCTGTCTGGGTGAGAACTTCTGAGGTCCCAGGAGACAGGACTAAGTTTTCTTTCATTTAAATTCTGCTGTGCATTCAGTCTTGCAACTGTTTTTGTAAAGATGCCAAATTTCTCATCTGTTTGTGTCTAAACCCTTCATTTGGGCTTCACCAGAGAATTAGATCACTGATTTTTTGCAGCAAAATAATAGCCAAAATGCTGCAGGGTCAGGGCAAAACTTACACTGAAATCACAGAGGCTACAGTTGCTAGGCCAGTGGGAGTTTTTCTAAACCCAAAATGTGGCTCATGAGGTAAATGTTGTTCTTGTTCTAAATGTGCCTATACCTTGGAAAAAAGGAAAGATAGACTTTTCTCTCTCCCTCTGTCTACACTAAATACCCCCATGTCCTCAGAATAACTTTGGAAACAGGAGTTCAGCTGCGCATTTTTAAACAGGTCCCTGTTATCATTTGTATATTTAATTAAACCCACCAAGCAGGAAATCATTTATGAAATCCTAGGACAAACTCTGCTCTGCTGAGGAATATATTATAACAAATTATAGGTCCTGATAATAATAATAGTAGTAATAGATAAATAAAATGCCTTATATTAGTTGAATGCCTAGTATGTGCCATACAGTGAGTTTTAACTTCAATATACCATATTATCATTACAAAAAATGAACCAAAAGCCATTAATATCTGCATTTTAGAGAATAAAAAAGTTTAGAGAGGTTATGTTCCTGGGCCACGGTTAGC